GGAAATCGTGACACGTTAGTCCTGAGCTGACGGAAGTTACCTTCTCTTGCAGGTTTTAGCATTTTCTGCCAAAGTGCCAGGTGTGGTTGTGGAGAATGAAAGCACACCCTTGGGTCACTAGGGCATATTCTGGTCTGGCATCTCAGTCCAACGGCTTTCTGTTTGTTTATTTCCATAGGGCATGTGCACTTGCCAGAGAGAAATGGAGAAGGGAAAGTGAGAAATCACCCCCAGGGGGATGGCCACACTGCAATCCCTTCTCCTCCATTCTGCTTTTACAATTCTGGATACACACACATAAGCACCTGGCATGATTTTCAAGCTGCCAGGTCTGAGACTCAGATTGTGGTGAGCCATGTGGGATCCAGCGCCTTAACCAGACACCTACGGGCCTCCACTCCCATAACTTATCTTTCATATCTTTAACACTGGCTTTGGTCTTTAGTTTTTCTTTTTGGTACTCAGTTTTGAACATCATCGGTTGAATGTAAGCATATGTGGCTTTTGTGTTTATCCATGGCTTCGTGCATTGACTGGTTCCTATTGATTCTACTCAGAAAACGTTCAGGCGTGTCAGCAAGGCAAGAGCCCCACACCAAGCATGTCACCGCTGGGACTACACGTAACATCCAAACAGCTTACATGAGAAGCACCTGAGAACAGCCTTTGCCATCACACACGTGGACGCCTTCGTACAAAGATTATTCTTGACTGAGAAAAAGAAATATGGTGTAATTGGTTTACAAACATATTTTAGTTACAGATATTATCCTTCTTAATTAATTACAGTATAGACAGGCTTTCTTATGTGTTACATAACATAACAGTGAATTGCCCCATGAATTCCCACACTTAAAGATGGAGCACAGAATCTGGCAGACAGCAGGACCTGGAAAGAAAATGACTGACTAAATACGGGACACACAGATCTATCCATATACAAAAGGGAAAGATCGTGCTACCTGTTTTTTAAAGAACTGTTTGTTTGAGAAAATCCTCTTCAAGAACAATGCATTAAGAGACTCAAAGCACATGAGGACCGTGGTTGAGTTGGTTGGGACTTCAGTCGGGTAAGTCCTGATGTCCATGGATACTGGCCACCTTTCTAGCATGAGGATCAGGATAAAATAAAGGTAATGATGCTAAAATGACAATGGACATTTTGATTATATTGATCCTTCCAATCAAGGAATATGGCATTTGACAGAAAGTGGACAAATATGGAAGATTGACTCCTAAACAAAGCAAGCTAGACTGTGAAAGAGAGGCATCGTATTTCCCCACTTAATATATACTGAATGTCTGCACTTTTTGGCAGAAACTGAAGCTTGGGAGATATAAAAAAGCATGGAGAACTATTATGGATACTAAAGACAGTGTCCAAGGAGAGTGAGAAATAGGGGAGGTTAAGAAGAAGGGCATTAACAGGAAAAAGAAAGACACAAAACATTTAAGGGACACAAAAATGGAAAATTATCTGTTGATAGATAATGTGTATGATAACATCTTCAACTGGACTAACATACATTGTACTCATGTTGGGAACATTCATTTAATAAGCTGCTATGATATATGGAATGTGTTAAAATTAAAAGGACAATTGAATGAAGTAAAAGCATAATACCAAGAAGTTTCAAATTGCTAAGTTCGGATAACTCGGATGTTTCAACCCAACCAGAGGCTTGAGGCATCCAGCCCATTTATCAGAAGGGCAATGTGACAGCCAATTTGAAATGATTCCTTCTAGAAATGAGTGCCTGAGATCTCATTTATCCAAAGTGGGGAGGCGATGGGCTAGAGGGTACATTCAGGGTGCCACTTTTCAAGGCACTGCACTGGGACCTGTCATGACAGAGTGGGACATCTTGAGCTTCTCCCAGTGTGGGTCTGCTCTTAACTCTCAGCTGCAGCATTTGGACAGGGAACCCAGAAGAATTCAGGCAGGGGTTCAGACTTCATATAACTGGGCAGAAGTCCCACAATGAATTCTGTTTTATCTTTCCGGTATGGTATTTCTCTTTGATATTCCCCCTTCAAGGTGATAAGACATTCCTCCCTTCCTCATTCCTTGGAGAGACAGAGATGAAAGGCACCTTCCTATCTTGACTGTCGGATGAGCGAATCCACTCTCCTGGGAGTTACCAAGATGTGAAATGAGTTGGAAGCTGTAAATGATTTCTAAGAACATTCCTTTCTCTCCCAGCCTGAAAAGACTTTTCACTCTTTCTCCCTTAGTGCTCAGAACCACCCTCATCTGCCTGCAGGCCTGGGCAAGCTGCACCCCACAATTTAGGGCTCCACAACTCTCTTCGCTAAGCTGCCCATACCTCACACTCATATGGATTCAAGCTATCTGTTTGCTTGGAAGTCTCCTTCCTTCACTGTGACTGACGCTGGAACCTTGCTCTGTATCATTTGTGCTGAACATGTAGTCATGCCGAATAAATGTCTATTGGGTGAATGAACTTTGGGTGATTGTTTGCCAGTCTCTCTGCATACGTGCCTTTCACAGTCAGACCCTGATTACAGGTTGGGGTTCAATGAAACTGCATGACCTAAGCAGCTGGAGAGTCATTCATTCAGGAGTGAGCACTGCACACACATTTTCAATAAATGGAATCCATACTGATATGAGCGGATGCTCAAATACTGCTTGCAAGGCTTTGGTATCTGAGCATAAGAAAAACAACTTTGCACTTGGAAATAAATGTGTGACAGTTGGCAACTTCTATGAAGGACGGGACATTCACAGGTGGGGGAGCTAACCTGGGCTTTCCTTATTCTTTGTACCTCAGAAGCTGGAAGGAGGTCAATGAGGCTGCCTAGTTTCTGGAGTGAAGACAGCTGTAGCCCTGAGGAACTTCCAGTGCATTCTGTCCTTCCATGGGGGACCCACTGCTATGGTCACAGAGGCTTGACCTCACCCAGAAGGCTACGTATTCCACACATGAATGGGGCCCAGTTCAGTTGAATGGAGAAAAAGGAGTGTAGGAGAAAAGACATTACTATGGATAAATGAATAGATCAACCCAGGCCAAAACTGAAGGCCAGCACACAGACTACTTACTGTCTGAGAAAAGAGAACCCTTTCATCCCAAATCTGGGTTGTCTCAAAGCCAGCAAGCCTGCTGCATACAGTGGAGGTCTCCAAAGGGACATGGAGAGCCCTTCTTGGTGCTGTTCAGAATGCCCACAGGTTGGGCCAGGGTGGGCATGGCTGTACTCGGCCTGCCTCCCATAGAAAGGTGCACTTGAAGATGGTTCCCTTTACTGGTGCTTGGCACTATATTCACTTTCAATGACTAGAGTTCCAATGCTTCCATTAACAAGTCATCAAAAATAAACAGTCGCTCTTGGCCAACTGGGGAGGCCTAGCTCCTCATTACTGGCACCGCTGCAATAGGCAAGCCAGAGTCTCTAAGTCAAAAGCCGAGATACCAATGGATACAGTGGCATAAAATTATGTCAAGACAAAAGCAGAGGAGGCCAGAGTTCCAGATCTGAGCTGTCCAAGAGAATCCTCTGTGACAATGAGAATATCCTCTGCCTGTAATATCCAATGGATGTGACAATGGCGCATAGGACACACAGTTAGTGGGACTGATTGATGAATTTTAAGTCTGTTTCATTTTAGTGGATTATAATTTAAAACTTAATAGACCCTAGTGGCCAGTGGCTACTGTATTAGCCCAGCTGTGGAGGGCATCTTCTCCCCAAAATGATTTGCTCTATTATCAACTTCTTTCGTTCATGTTAGGAGCTACATGGTTGATGCAGGTTCTCACACAAGCTTTAAATTTTGCTGCCTAGGCATCTCTCATTAAAATCTTGAAGCCTGCCCTTAGAGGGTTTTAAATTTGATTTTGCATTTGCGTTAACCTTTGGTTTTTCTTTGATAAGATCCTACAAAATGTTTGTGCAAGAGGTTGTCCTTTCTACAGGTGTCTAGAAGGAACATTCCCTATAGATCAGGTTGTCAATTCATATAGAGAAAAGAGATGGGAGGAGTATGTATAGACTTCCTCTCTACCTTATCCCATGGGAGCTGTGCTGTGGGAAGGGGAGTTATAATTGTGGTTCTGTTCTATTTTTGAGTAGAACTGAACTAAAACGCTTCTATGTAAAGCAATTTGTGGAAACTAGAAAAATGTGGGGTTTTCCAGCTGAGTTCTACCCAGGAAGAGTTCGAGAAGTGACAGCATTCTTGGCAATGCTGGGCAGGTGGCTTTAAGAGCTCATCCTTCAGGTGGTTTGTTCCCCTCTTGCTTAGTATCAGTCATATATTCCCCCTGGAAATAATGGGCTGTTGTTCTCCAGGATAGGCACCTAGAAAACCATCTCCTCATTCTGTACAGAACAGTCTATGGCTGTGAAGATGGTGCAAGCAGAAAGATCAAGAAGATCTATCAACCAATGTTGATGTACCTCTCTAAGGACAATGGCTGGGGAATATCTAGGTTTGACAACAGAGAGACTAATTACTCTGAACTTAGAGTTGTGAGAGGCAACTAAGACGTTTCAGATCTCACAGCTTCATGCATGTACACTTCAGGTTGAGACGTGTCCTTATTTTACTGAGGAAACATTCAGAGCAAAAAGATGTCTTCCATTAATAAGTTAAACATCAGAAGACAGGCTGATGGGAAGCTGCAAGGCAAGCCTTAGAGCTCCTGGGAGCAGGGCAGCTATTCTGATTCAAGGACCTCTAGGCTGAGCTGCTGAGCCTGGGAACTGTTTCCTTTCACAGGCAAAAGACTCACTCCTAGCTTCAAGACGTCATTCTTGCAAAAATGACCTTCTTTGCCTCTCAAGTGAACCGGAAGCACTGGGTCATCTCACCATTATCCTTTCACTCTTAAGTAGGCGAGGCAGCAAAGACTGGTGATCAGTAGCTTTGGGGCAAAGGAAATTAAACAGCACAAGCCAGCTGTCCTGAAGCGGCACAGCCCCTGGGGCCCAGCACTCACCCGTGCCCCGGGAGTGGCTGAAGTCGCCCTTCACCACGCGGCAGGTCTTGCCGTTCCCGCTGCAGACCCCACATCGGTCCTCTTTGGCTGCAGATCCGATGATGCCATCACAGCCGATTTTCTAGAGAACCAGAGGGCCTGGTTATTCTGTGTTTAAGATGTAGAAGAGTCTCACAAAGGATGTCCCTGCAGGGCCGACTTCTCCAGAAGGTCCAGCAGGTATGGTTCTGGGGGTCCCCAAGAAGAAATTTTATTTCCTCTTCAAACCAGAAGAGAAAACAACTAATAGAATGGAGTCTGGGTTACTTTTTTGCTTGCAAAATCATGAGATATATTTTTTGGTAGTTGTTCTGGAGCCCATGAAGGGCAAAGGATCTATGGAAGGAGGCCTGAAGCCCTGATTGCCCAAGGCGGAGTCTCTGTGCAAGGAATAGACGGCTCCCACACACCATTGGAGGTGACCACAGTGTCATATAATGAATGTCCCCCTTGGGGATGTGATAGTCACTGGCATCATGGTTGGGACAGCCAACAGTCTCAGAAAGTACAGCAGAATCCACAGAATTTTCTACTAAGGTAGGGAAGCCCAGAGCTCATTCAGGCAGGTTGGTATGGGGGCTCCCAATTTCTCAGCAAGGGAAACACCAGCCTCTCAAACCTATCAGTAGGCCTATCTGAGAGCAGAAGAGAGGCAGGCTCCACCACCAGTGGGTATAAAAAGCACAGCCTGGGAGGCCAGCAGGTGCCATGGTGGTTAAAGCGCTGGACTCCCACATGGCTAACTGCAGTTCGAGTCCTCAACCGGCAGCCTGAAACTCACACTGGGTGCGTGCGTGCGAGCATATGTCCAAAATCTGGCAAGCACATGTGCCCTATAACAAAAATCTGAAGAAAGAAAGAAAGAAAGAAAGAAAGGAAGGAAGGAAGGAAGGAAGGAAGGAAAGTACAGCCTGTTTCATTGAAAGTAGAAGACATTTTTTTGCAGGCCTGTTAGGTGGCATGGTAGCTAAGGTGGCTGGACTCCACATGGCCGACTGTGAGTTTGAGTTCCAGACCTGGTGGCTTGAAACACACACCCGGTATGTGTGTGGATATGCCCAAAATCCCAAGAGGAGAATGGAGGAGAAGGTACTGACTGCAGTGTGGCCATCCCCCCTGGGGGGAGGTGATTTCTCACTTTCCTTCTCTCTCCCTTTCTCTGATGAGCGCACAAACTCTATAGTAAATTTAAAAAAGAAAAGAAAAAAGGCTCTTGGAACTCATGTTTTTCTTCTTTTTTTTTTTGGAGAGGTTTTTGCTATAGGGCGCATGCGCTCGCCAGACAGACAGAGAGAGACATAGAGACAGAAAGCAAGAAATCAAACCCCAGGGGGGGATGGTCATGCCACAATCCCTTCTCCTCCACTCTCCTCTCGGGATCTTGGGCACACACGCACATGGGCCTGGTGTGAGTTTTAAGCCACCGGGTCCGGGATGTGAACCGAGGTCGACTATGTGGGAGTCCAGCGACATAGCCATTACGCTAACTGCTGGTTCCCTCATGTTTTTCTTCTTAAAAGAAAAATAAACCTCGAGGTTTCTGTATTCTGTAAAATAACCTCAGTGTACATTATGGTAAATACTGGGTGTTTATTTACTAGCTAAATTGCTTCAATACCCCTTCACATTGCTTTCCCTAAAGCAAATACTTCTAGAACAAGAAATAGGATTTTCCCACTGCCTTGCACCCCAGTTTAGGTACTGACTCTTTTTTTTTTTTTTTTTTTTTTTTAGAGAGAGAGATTTTTGCTATAGAGTGTGTGTGCTCGCTAGAGAGACAGGAGGTGAGAAATTACCTCAAAAACAAAACAAAAAAGAAAAGTTCTTTGAAAACAGATGAATGGAAAACTTGGAGGCTTGGGTGACCAAGGGGCTCGGCTAAGAGCGAATAGAGATGAAAGGATTTAATGGCATCGGAATAGACAGATACAGATGGTGAGTGTCAATTAACAGCAGCATCTTGTCAGGTAGATCACTCAACAGTGGGAACCAACTGTGATGAGGCACCTTGAACCTGGAGCACATCGTAGGTGTTGCCTGGGCTCTTGATTTGGATGGCTAATTGCTGCTGCCAAGTTGCCCGATATAAAATTATAGTGTCTAGTATCCACAGTTACTCTCCATGCCTTTATATTTTCCAATCTTTCAGTTTCTGCCAGAGTGCAGACATTCGATATATATTAAGTGGGGACATACAATGCTTCTCTTTCATAGTCTGGCTTACTCTGCATGAAATCATCCATATTTACCCACTTTTTTTTTTCTTTCTTTTTTTTTTTTTTGGAGAGATTTTCACTGTAGGGCGCGTGTGCTCGCCAGACAGACAGAGCGAGACATAGAGACAGAAAGCAAGAAATCACCCCCCAGGGGGGATGGTCACGCTGCAATCCCTTCTCCTCCATTCTCCTCTCGGGATCTTGGGCACGCATGCACACGCGCCCGGCGTGAGTTTTAAGCCACCGGGTCCGGGACACGAACCGCAGTCGACTACGTGGGAGTCCAGCGACATAGCCATTACACTAACTGCTGGTTCCCGATATTTACCCACTTTTGATCAAATGTCAGGATCTCTTTTTTTTTTTTTTTTTTATGGCTGAGTAGTGTTTCATAGTGTATAAAATAAAATAAAATAAAATAAAATAAAATAAAATAAAATAAAATAAAATAAAATAAAATGGACTAGGAATACTAAGAAGGCAGTCAGAAAATCTGCTCAAACAGGACACTCAGCGAATGCCCAGGATGAAATCAGTGGGATCACATGTGTCAGTCTGTGTTCTACTTCAGAGCTCCAAGGTCATGGTCTTCAGGTAATTTCTGGCACAGCCACAAGGCCAATACCAACAGGGCTGGGCCCTCATGCTGGCCTCTTTTGTGTCACCTGGACCTGCCCTCACTTGGCTTCCCCATCTCTCTCAGGTCTTCTAGTGCTAGACTCTCCCTACACTGGCTTCCTGTCATTTTGTTAACTACACCCTTGCTCAGTAGGCATGAGTCCCTGACTTCAAGCCTGGCTCTCACCACTTCTAGATGCTCTAAGTAAACATCCTACGTGGTCCTGACAGCTTCCCCTTGCCCAACAAAGGAGGCATTTCAGGTCCCATGCAAACAGGAGGCATGCAGGCTTGCCGTTTAATTCTGCAGGTCAGCCAGGGGCTGGGTGGTGTACTCTGCCCACTCTGGTGGTGTTATTCAAGGCGCCTTTGTGTCTGGAGGCAAGGCATGCAAGGATGTCTGTATGAACAGCAGCAAACCTGAGGCTCTACAGCCGAACTAATCTGCTGAAGGGGGCATTTTCTCCCTTTGCTACACTCAGTGCAAATGAGTCCTGTTCTTGGCAAGGGTAAGGGTTGATTGTAGAACGGAAGCCATGTTTGGATACTACAGAAGTCGTGCATTTGGAATGTTAGGGGAGCTTTAATGCCTGCATTTATGTAGCTTGGTGTACCAAGTGAGCAGGCCAACCAAACTCAAGGGAATACCAGTCAGTCAATCTCTCAAATCTCCTCATGTCATCCTGGTGATTTCTACATATGGATGGAATTCCCATCGCCATTTCTGAGCCTTTGAAGTAGGCCTTAAACTCCAGGTCAGTGGGCCAGCAGGTGGCGGGGTAGGATAAGGCAGCTAGATTGCACATAGCCAACTTAGATGTTCAAGGCTTGAAAATTATGCGGGTACGTGTGCATGTGTGCCTAAATTCCTGAGAGGACAATGGAGGAGAAGAGATGGTGGTGTGGCCATCTCCCTAGGGGGTGATTTCTCACTTTGTCTCTTTGTCTCTCCCAGCTAACAGCACATGAGTTACAGCAAACTAAAACAAATTTCAGGTCAGCACCTGCTGGTCAGGACCCTGTTTGATTGGCTAAGCCAGATTCTCTATGACAACCAAGGAACCAAGGAGAAAGTGCCACATGGTATAATTAATCAAGGCACCACAGGTATGGCCTGGGGGGTGAGAGGACAAGTGGGTATTTTTTTTTTGGGGGGGGGGGGTTGCTTAGGGGGGC